CTTTCCCTAGGCACCGGTAGACTCATCCATCTGCATCAGCTCTGTCCCCTTTACTTAATTATTCCTTCAATCCTAGTATGGGCTTAGAAGCCTCTATTCTCTCCATCTTTCAGGTTTTTTTGAACAAATTGCCAGATGTGTTTACACTGACATGTAATTTGTCAAAGTAAGAGATGGTGGAATCCTAGCCAATAGCGGTAGGGGAATTTGGGAAGGGGTGTGGCCTTTCCTATGCATTTGATGATATATCCTGTAAGGGGGCAGCCTCCGAGTCTGTCTGTGCTTGAAGCAGGGACTGAGGGCCTGGCAGGAGTATGCTTACGTTCCACCAGAGACCCTCACACTGCCCACACGGTCACAGAAGCCATAGACCCAGAGACTGGGCACGTCATCCTCCTGAATCTCCATCGTGTTGCCCTTGAAGTTGGCTCCTTCAAACAGGCAGATCTTGTGCTCCTGAGAATCCTGAGAAAGGAGAGACTGCGTCAGGTATGGGGAGTATGAATGAGGCAAAGAGAAGTAACTTAGAGGCCTCCTGTGAAGAGAGAGAGATGAATATGCTCAGACCATGGTGGGACTCTGCTGGCATTACTGCTGTCCATCCTGGAAGAGCCCTCCTCGTCTGTGAAAAGAGGCTTTCAGCCTCTATTTCATGGAGTCATCATGGGGATGAAATGAGGTAATTCATTTAGAGCACTTAGCATGATGCCTGGCATACATTAAGTGCTCAAAAAAAAAAAAAGTTTTATTCTTTATTTTTACTATTATGGTCAGGGATGCAGAGGCTCAGAGAGGTAGGTTCTTGATCAATGTCACACAGCCAATGAGGGGCAGCACCTCTCAGAGAAGCATTTCATTCCTCCCATTTCGTTCGGTACTCCTGTCCTCTTCACGCCCTCTGCTGCAGCCACACTGGCCACTTTTGAGTTCTTTGCTCACACCCAGTCTATCCCAACTTCAGGAGCTTTGCACTCACCATTCTCTGGGAAGCTTCTCCACCACTCTTCGCAGGGCTGACTCGGTCCTCATCCTTCAGGAGCTGTCTTCTCTGACCACCCCCTGACCACTCCCATCGCCCAACATCAGAGCCCCAGCTCCTCTCATCCACTTTCCGAGCACACTGCATGGCCCCGTGCAGCACGTACCACAGTGGTTTGCCATAATAGATTGATTTCCATGATTAGGTTTCAATAGCTGCCTTCCACGAGGTCAGGGACCTTGCCTGTCCCGTGCAGAGCTGTGCAGCCAGAGCCAATAACAGAGCCTGGCAGAAACAGATCAACTCACAGTGATGGAAAGCATGACTATGTAGAAGATGGTCAGGTTACAGATCCCTCTAACTTCTCAGGATAGAAGGCTGGGAAGGAGTCAAGGAACGCAGCGGGGAGGGAGTGGGAGCTGGGCACGAATGAGATAAAACAATCCACACTAGGATGGTGGCAGGGAGATAGGATGGATTAGACCAGACCAGTGGCTCTGATCCCTGGCTGCATAGAGTCTACCTGGGGGTATAGAAATGATATCAGTACCTGCTCCCGAGCTTTAGAGATTCAGATCTCATTGGTTTGGGGAGAGGTCCAGGCATCGATTTTTTTTTTTCTAATAATATATTTGATTTAAGCAAATACATCCAAAATATTATAATTTCAATATGCAACCAATATAATGATAGTTTACATTCTTATTTTGCTTTTTTTTTTTTAACTATGTATTCAAAACCTGGTGTGTACGTTACACTTATAGCATATAGCCAATCAGACTAGCCAAAGTTCAAGCATTCAACAGCCACATATTGCTATTGCTGACTGTATTGGACAGCAAAGTTCTAGAAGCTACCGAAAATGCCCGGCTGATGGCTCTTCCAAATAGGCTCCCTTGACATAAATTGCCATTTAAGGACTGCTCAATGATTGAGAGATACACCTATGAACTCTTACAAAGCTTCCATTTATAATGGCTGATAATTCAGCCTCAAATTCTGAGAAAAATATTGGGAATGGATAATTCATGAAGATAAGTTTGGTGGTGCCCAAACAGCTGGCTGTTGGGCCCAGATAGCCTCAAATGGACACCCATGAGAATTCTTCAGGAAAATTCTCATTCAAGAAGCAAAAGTTGTTTACCATGGGACACTGACACTGGTGGATAAAGATGTGATTGGTTCGTGAGTCTTAATCAACACACCTGGAGAAACTGTGAATTGCTTGAGGATAACTCCACCTATCTTGGATTTGAGTCTTCTTTACGTTACACTAATTAACTTAGTTGAATATTATAAAGGGGCTAATTCAGTATATTGTCTTATCATAGAGAAGTTCAAGGTGCCTTTCCACAGCACCTGTCTTTTAGCCACCGCACAAACTTCAACCCGCGTGTTGGATATTTTGGATGGGCACGGGGGTTTTCGAAGCTTCTCAGGAGGTTCTAATGTGCAGCAAGAATTAAAAACATTCCCCAAAGAGAATCAAGGAAGACGCTAAAATTTCTAGCTCCCAAAACTGGGATATTGGTTGAGTCCACTCTTGAGAGGAACCCAGGGCTCCTAGCAGGGGCTAGGCACACTGTTTGAATGTCAGAGACACCTTAGGAATCAATGAGCACAAGAGTCCACTGCCCTTGGACAACTCAGAGGTCACCATGCTTCTCTGCCCACTCCCATTTCCTTAATTGTGGTCAGACGTCAGACTTGCCCCTGCCCTCTCCACTCATCCCCCAGGCCCTGTCCAGGAGCCACTCACCATCCTGATGGGCCGGAAGGACATGAGCCGGTCGCTGCGGTAGCTGCTGGACCAGGTATCCCAGCGTGGGTATTCGCCCTTCTCCAGGACAAACATTTCCCCCCGGAAGTTGGACTGCTCAAAGGCGACCCAGCTGGAGATGAGAGGGATGTGGAGGGTGGGAAGGGCCAGAAGGCACAAAAGCAGAAAGGAGAGAAATTATTAGCAGAAGCCCACCTCTTCCTCTTGGAAGGTGGCCCCAAGGCCAGTGAGTTTTTCTAGTTGATGCCACTTACTGGCTGTGTGACCACAGGCAAGTGGCTTCACCTCTCTGAGCCTTGGTTTCCTCATCGAATATACCTATTAGAGTTGACGAAGGATTAAAGGAGATCATGTGTGTAATTATGTGAGCAAAAATTTTTTCCCAGATGTGGGATTCACACATGATTTAAGTACTAGGAGGGCTTAGGGTAAAATAACATAAGAAGATATTCTCTTTTAAACTTGATTACAGCTAGGAAAAAGTCTCTATTGGATGCTAATGTGTCTTTAAGACTTACTAATCTCTCTTTTTGTAAGAAAAAGAACAGGCCACGAGTGCAGAGCCTTGAGCATGATAGCACTGCTCTGTGTTCATTGTATTAATTTTTTATGGGTATCTTTTACTTATAGCAAGTGATACTAGCTTTCCATTTGTAAAAGTGATATAAAAATTCTTTTAAAATATATTTATTTCTGTTAACATGGTCATTTTAAATGAAAAATGTTAAATAAAAATAGTCCTAGAGATACAGGGCTAAGGGAAAAATTGACACAGGTTCTTAAATCATACGTTTGGTAAGGACTGGCTAGCATATAGGAGATACTCAGTAATTGGTATGTGAGCAGAAGGAGGGAAATGATAATAATGTCTACCTCTCAGCTACCTAAGAAAATTAAATGCATTCGTGTTCAATCCTCTCAAAGACTAATTACAAACTCGAAGTCAAATGGGAGCTTTTCCTGGCTTTCCCGTTGCAGCCTGATTAAGGATGGGAAATGAGCTTGTGTTAGAGGGACCAGGGATTCTGGACGACCCCCATTTTGTAAACGAGAAGGCCGAGACTAAGGGATCCCTTGACCTTTGCTCTATGTGTTCAGGAGTTCTCTGGAACAAAGGGGGACACTGACATTACTACCATCTCCTTGGGTGCTGCTGGGACCTTCCTCTACCGAGAAGGAGATAGGGGAGATGGGTGCAGGGTGGGAAAGCTACCACCATGGACTGAAACAGAATGTGTTTCAGGAGCCTCAGGTCTTGTCCACACTGGAATGACAATTAAAGATGCAGACTTACTTTCCCAGAACAGAGCTGAATCTGCCTCAGCCCTGCCTGGTCTGGAATAAATGAGAAAAGGATGGAAGAATGAATGGAAGAATGAATGGATGAATGGATGGATGGATGAATTGATAGATAAATGAATGGATGGGTGGATGAATGGATGGGTAGGTGGATAGTTAAGTGGGTAGATGGATAGATGGGTAGATGGCTGGATCTGTGGACGAATGTATTGATGGATGGATGCATGCATACATACATGATGGAAAATGGATGGAGGGAAGGGTAAGCAGATGGATGAATGAATGGATGGAGAAAGTGGATAGATAGATGGATAGATGGATGGATGGATCTACAGATGGGAGGATGGGTGAATAGGAAAGGGATCCTTGGAAGATGGTGCCATGTAGGAGTTAAGAGCACAGACTCTGGAAACAGACAAACCTGAGCTCTAATCCCAGCTCATCCTTTATTTTCTGTATGATTTGGGCAAGTAACTTAAGCTTGTTAAGCCTCAATAACAGAGAAAATGGCTGTACCTACCTTGTCAGGATGTTATGAGGATCTAAAAAAGGAATGCATGGAACAAGTCCAGCACAGAGAAAGCACAATAAATAATGTATTTTATAATTGAAGAGGAGGGGAAGCTGCTGGAAGTCTGAACTTATGGAAAGATGAACACTGATGTGGTCTTGCCATTGTGCCTGCCTTCCCCTCAAATTCCTGTCTCTTTCATAATGCCCAGTAAGGACTTGTCACAGGAGTGAGAAATTTTAAATATTTATTTCAGTGCCTTTCTCATCTCCTATGGCTCATCTGAGCTTTATGAATAAGGAGAGGTAGGGCAGGAATTTTATTTTACAGGCATGGAAACTGAGGCTCAAGGATGTTAAGTCACCTCTCTAAGGTCACCCAATGGTGGCAGGTGGCAGGTAGCAGGTGGCAGGTTGAAGTCTCCTAGGTTTCAGACAGGCGTATCCCTGTGCTGAGGTCATGCCTCTCCTCCCCTCCCCCTGCCCACTTCTTCCTCTCCCTCCTTTTTCCCATCACCATTTTCTCTACAT